ATGCATCTTAGCTCTGGAAATTGTTATTGAATATGTCAATGCTGTTGTAATGAAATGCTTCTTCTAATTTTATGGTTATTAAATAAATAATTTTTAAAAAGTATGTATTTTCCATGGGAAAAAAACCCCAGAAACAATCAAAATGCCATGAACACATATTAAAGGTTATGGAAAATCCTCTTTCTTATCTATTTTGTTAACCTGTGTATTTGAAAGATTCTTTGGCCCTTCATGCATGCATGGGGCCTAATAATCCACAAAATAAGGTTGGAGCATCAAAAGCTCCCCAGGTTCACCACAGGACACATGTTTAGAGCAGGCCTCAGTTCTGCAGTGCACATTGCCTGCTGATTAGCTGTATAAAAAAGGTAGCTGAGCAAGCCAGGGGGATGCAAGCCAGTGAGCAGGGGTCCTCATGGTCTCTGCTTCAGTTCCTGTCTGGACTTCCTGCCTTGAGCTTCTGCCCTGGCTTCCCTAGATGAATGATTATAACTTGTAAACTGAAATAAACCCTTTCTTCGCCTAGTAGCTTTGGGCTAACACTCCTTACACATTTGAGGAGAGAGAGAGAGAGAGAGAGAGAGAGAGAGAGAGAGAGAGAGAGAGAGATCCGTTTTCTCCAAATATATTGTTAATGGATTTAAATAGAATTTGAAAACTATTTTTAATAGATATTTTTAATATCTGTCTTTTCTCCTGTACCCTCCCTTTTCCCAGCCTTGTGAACAAGGACGCCGTGTGAAGCGTATCCATGCTGTGGCTAACATCGGCACAGCACTCAAGTTCCTTGAAGGAAGGAAGGTAAGAAAGAAGAAAAGCCACTGGCCACTGACTTCTGCACTCTTCAGGCTGAGTTTACATTTTCTCTTCTCCAGTCATGAAATTGACCGCTTCTCCAAGGAGGCAGGTCTAGAATATGTGTATTTTCTAATTTGTGCCTCTACATTCATTTTCTCTCTCTCTCTCTCTCTCTCTCTCTCTCTCTCTCTCTCTCTCTCTCTCTCTCATACTTGTGGGGGTGTGCATACCACTGTGTGTACTCCTGATTCCTGGCCAGAACCATAATGTTTATTCTAACCTTGTTTCATTTTTTTCTGACAGTGAGAAACATAGATTCATCTATAATGTATTCACTTGTTTTTAATTAATTAATTTTTGTTTTTTGTGTGTGAGTGTTTTGCCTGCATGGATGTAATTGTGCCCATGCTATGCAATGCCTGAAGAGGCCAGCAGAAGGCATCAGGTCCCCTGGAGCTGGAGTTATGGACAGTTGTTAGCCTCCATGTGGGTGCTGGGATCTGAACCCTGGTCCTCCGCAAGAGTATCCAGTGCTCCTAACCACTGAGCAATGTCTCCAGCACCCTTTTACTTGGTTTTTCAAACCCTAGTCTATAGGCATAAATCTTTTTGTGTTTAATATTACAGTCAGTATCTATCAAAAAACCTATCTTCTTTATGTACTTACATTAATTATACTGTTTTCTATCCACTTTAGTGTATTACATTACTTGTGTGCAATAAATTTGTGCTTATTTGTTATTCTTTATATCCCATTTTTGCATAACACACAGATATCTTGGTAGCCTTTAGTTCCTTGTTTATTGGGGGAAGTGAGTAATTCTTGTGGTTTTAAGAGTAAAAGTTAACAAATACTGCAAATTCTCTCCTGGTCTCCCAACACTCTTCCATTTTTATTTCCCACCTTTCACTAGTTCTCACTTTCTGTATTTCACTTCACAAGTTGGATGTGTTTTGACGTGCCTCCTTCTTTCTTACATGAAGGTTCACATTCTATAGGTGTTTTACTTTTCTGTTTAGAAGTCTATCTTACAAATGACCCCAAATCAGTGAATATAGATTTCATTGTTCGTCTCTTACAGCTGCATTGTATAGATTGTGGAGCCACTCTCAAGTTTCTATTACTTTTCAAACACAAATAGTGATGCAATTTGCAGCTATGAGTTTGAACACTTTCCAAGTGCTGGAGGTGTATCCTCCAGGCACATGCACATCTTCCAGGTAGACTCCTGGGATGTGACTACTGAAAGGTAAGAGTGTGTGCCATCTCGTTAGATATTGTCACACCCCCCCACCCAAAGGGCTGTACCTCTCACACTGAAACCCTTGCCTATTTGTGGGAGCTTAGAATGTCTGCACTGAGCAATATCAGAAACAGCTTTATAAATGAATATCCACAGAAAATAGAAGGACTGAATTATTTTCCCCTCTGTCTATATGTGCTAAATAAATTCCCTTGCTCCACAAATGTATAATTGAATATTTTCTAGAACACAGGAACTTGAAGCAAACTTAGTTTCTGCCCTTTCAATGATTTACATTTATGAGTTGGCCGTGTTATAACTATGTAAACTGTACCCAGGAGAGACCCCCCCCCACACGGGGATATGCAGACAACCATCTTGTACAATGTTGGGCAATATTTCCAGATCACTCTCATTTCATTCATATTAGAGTGTTTCTCTTGCTCACCCTCAGTAGATTTTCTACAGAAAGCAGAGTGGACAGGTCATTAGAGGTCCTCGGGATAGCCTTCTCCATTCAATATATGGCAATAGCATCTTTTTTTCATTCTGAAGGATATTTATTGGCTCTATATAAGAACAAATTTTCTCTGGTGAACTAATTAGTCTTGCTGAAAATTTTAATGACTTAACTTTTAAGAACTATCATTTATAAGAGAAGTTTTTCGCAGAAGACTTATTTTCCCAAAGTCTATTTTCACAGAACAACCCTAAGTAATTTTCTGGAAAAGATACAGAAATCCTATCTTAATACAGAAAGTAATACAATTGAATTTCTGACAAATAAATTTTCTGGCAAAATGAACCATTTACAAACTTCTGAACTTTGTTAATAATACATTTCTTGAAATCTTGACTCAGAGCTATTGAGAGGTCTGAGGCGCTGTCTGCCACCTTGTTCTAGTTTTGTTGGGGATTGTGCAAATGGTCTTGAGCAATGGCTGTTTGCGTGGTGACAGGGAGATTGCCCTCCAGGTTTCTTTGCTCTTGAACCGTCTGAGTAGCAGCAGAAGCACCAGAATGGATGGCTTGGACCACCTCAGCTCTGAGAGCATTATATTGTCAGCCCAAAGGAGACGAAGGAGTGCTAATAGTCTCTGGTCCACAGTTTCTCAACTTTCCTTTGTTCTTCCTTAAAATGTATTTCCATGTCATGCTCTAAACTGTTTACCTTTTTATCCCTACTGACTACATGATGCTGAGTTTGTGAGTATGTTCACTGCCTTACCTTCTTTCTCCCTTTGTTTTTCATGTCAGTCCATGTACAGAGGATCACCGGTTAGTACAAATTTTAGAATTTTCAACTGCTGATTTTTATAGGCAAAAGAGATCCTAAGTTTTATGGTATTTGGTAGAAGGCTCAAAGTAAGTGCCTGTTCTCACACTATGATTTTTTTGTTCTAGTCAACCTCTAAATGTAAAGAATAACCACTTTTTTTGGACTTTTTTTGTTGGTAATTTCCTGCATGATATTATGTTTTTTTTAAACTAAGATTTTGAGATCCATTTTATAGTTGTTTTCAAATGTATTTTTAACCAATACCCCTGATATTTTCACTGAATCCACGTGTCTGTCTGTTTTCACGGTTTTCCTTCCTTACTCCTGTTTACCATTCTATAAGCATGATCAAATCTTATTGGTTCCTAATAAAGTTCTAATTATTGCATTGTCAAATAGCCATAATATTTCAGTGCATTACTAGTATATTTTTTTCTTTTTAAACAGATTAAGTTAGTCAACATTAATGCCACGGATATAGCTGATGGTCGGCCGTCAATCGTGCTTGGGCTGATGTGGACCATTATTCTTTATTTCCAGGTATTGTACTCCTATTACTTATTTAATGTCACTTGCTGTGACATTAAAGGAGAGAGTGGCAGACATTTATAATGGTCTCCTTTTCCAAACCCTTTGGGTGATCCTTGACTTAGCAGAGATGTGACCTTCACATAGAGTATTTGGGGATCAGAAGAACCTTCTCTTCACCCCTACAGCTGTGCCATGCATGAACTTTCCACCCAAAGAACTCCAGCAGGGGTACTCAATTTGAAGAGTAGACATGCATGTCATCGTGGAGATAAGTGTAGCTAGACATAGAAAGGAGTTCAGAAAATTTTTATTTTTACTCTGGCAGGGAGGAGTTCTAGGTCCTATTAGATGTGATAGGGAGAAATTAGCCTGTATTGTTCTTAGTGTGATCAATAGGTTTTACTTTATTAATATTGATCTCTTTTCCATTAGTATAACAAAATACACGAGACTGTAATTTATAAAGAAAAAATGTTTATTTAGGTCACAGTTTTGGAGATGGAACAGCTCTGGCAAGGGCTCCCTGGCTTCCTCACCTCATGACAGAGGTCATCACGGCTGGAGCATGAACAAGAGGGAGAGATCACATGGAGGGAAGCAGCCATAGGAAAAGGGAAGAGCTAACCTAGGTCCCTAAAAACTACATCAGTTATTTTCAAGTGCAGCTCCCCCAGCCTGTAACCTCCTTCAAGGGTCTGCCTGCCGTTGAAAATGTCAGTGCCTCTCAATGTCACCAACTAAGGACAAAGATTCCAACATGTGCACTCTTGGGAAACAAGCTCAAACCATAGCATTAACTCATCCATGCAGTTAATAAATGCTTATTATTGTGGATAAGATATTTGTAATGCAATGGGAAGTAGAAAAAGGATGAAGCTATCAATCAGGCCCTCAAAGAGCTTAGATTTTGTTCTGGGGCATTAAGGATGTTAAGATTAATGGATCTCCATTGGAAAGTTACTCCCCTAAACCCGAGCAAAGAGGAAAGAATATCATTTTTATTTTTTTCTGGTTGTTCACACATAAACAGATCGAGGAGCTGACCAGCAACCTGCCACAGCTACAGTCTTTGTCCAGCAGCACTTCCTCCATGGACAGTATGGTCAGCACGGAGACTGCCAGCCCACCGAGCAAACGCAAGGTGACCTCCAAGATTCAAGGAAATGCCAAGAAGGCACTGTTAAAGTGGGTTCAGCACATAGCAGACAAGTAAGTACCAAGAATTTGTTCAACCTGAAACCCTGTGAAGGTTTGCTATACCAATTCAGTACCTCCACAGCCTCTTGTGGTTGTGAAAATCTGACATTTGAGTTAACTGCTTTGCTTTAGCCTTTGTTTTATGCTCCTTGAATTAGGACCAGAACATAAGAGCTGGCAAGATGGCTCAGTGGGTCAAAGCACTTGCTGCACACACCTGACAACCTGAGTTAGATCCCAGGGTGACAGAAACCCATGGTGGGTGGACAGCATGAGGCCCCCATCCCCAAAGCTGTCTTCTGACCTCCACATGCACATCATTGTACACACATCACACCCACACAGAGTAGTAAAAAAAATAAGCATAAATCACCACTCACACTCTAGGAAGCTGCTGTAATAAGATTCACTTCTTTGATTGGGCCTGATTAATAAAATTGATTAGTCCCTCACTTTGGATTAGTAGCATGAAAGCTAATTCTAATTAGGCCATTGTCTCATTTAAAAAAGAGGATAAAAGTTTATAATTGATTATCTCTTCATTAGACTGTCAGGTTCTATCTAATGACAATGGCTAAGGTGATGTTATGAAAAACAAGTTTTTATTTGCTGAAACTTTCTAGAAGCCTTTTTTTCTTAACTTTTCCCCTTGTTCTTTTATCTAGAACATGGATTCCTCTCTCCACTCTAGTGTTTTTGGGTTGAAATCTAAATTACACAGGTACACGCTTTCATTATAATGGGGGATAGAAAATTAATACTTTCAAACGTGCTCTTTTAGCACTTACACTGGGTTTTCAGTCATGCGATATTTTCGTGGCCTGCTGATGTCAAGGAGAAGTTTCTTCACATAAAAGTGATGCTTTCCTTTGATCATTCCTAAGTGACATGTAAAACTAATTTCCTCTCTTGTCACATAAGTCTAATCTAAATCTGATTCTTTACTTCTGGAAATAGTTATAAACAAATACTTGTTATGAAACATTGAGGCACTAAACACAGGGAGTTCATCAGCCCCATGGGGTTGTTCAAAGGACAAAATTCAGTAAGGAAAATCTAGGCAGAGAAGATGTAATTAATGTAGTTCTGCTTAGCTTTTAACGTGTTTGAATGGTTTTCTAATTTTGGGTCTATGATTCAAGATAGCCAGAAATATTTCCAAAAGCAACTTTTGTTGCTCTTTAGAACATATAATAGAAATTAGATTTGGAAAATGCTCTGAATTAGTCAGGTTCTCCAGAGGAAAAAAAAAGAATATATATTTGTTATATAT